AGTTAAGAAGATGGACCGCCAACCAATGAGCAGAAGTCGACTCTCTAGGACACCACCCCTCCTCATTTGCATAATGAGGCAGAAATGTAAAAAGGGCAGGCAGAAATAAATAGCGGCGAAGAGATAACTAGGGTAAAAAAATACAAAGAATAAAACCGACAAAAATATGACATGCACATAAATACTTAAAAATATAATAAAAAAATAGAGTTGAAGATTATAAAGAACAAAAAAATAAGGTAAATATTACAAAGGCAAATAAAGAAGCTAATTAAAGAGTTTATACATTTATGTCTCACTGTATAATTTATTTTATACTTACATTTGTTTATTGTATTTTTGGTGGCAAGTAGTTGTATGCTTATTTCTGTATTCATTTTTAAATATGGCAGAGTTGGTCCTCCATACACCATAGAGGTAGCTTTCACCAGTGACATTTCTCAAATGAGGTTTCCTCTCGTTCCAGGACTCTATGGTGATTTCAGAGCTTCTCTTATTACCCTGCAGCTGATCATTGGCTCCGTTTTTATTTATTGAAACCATTTCTTATAAGGTATTCCAACAGGCTCATATTGAATCAATGCTGAATCAAGTACAAGGCACTAAAACACCAGTTTTGTAATCAGATAACATATTCAAAAAGAAAAAAAAAGTGCTTTAATAAAGCCACACTTTGATGGACAAAAAAAAAAAAAGACTTAAGTTTTAATGATCTAGAAGAGTGATAAATGAGACAACATAGAATGAAAGCCCTGAATTTTACTAATCCGTAAACATGTGATGTCAAATATCTACAAATAATTTGACCTATGGAAATTCTAAAGGACTACATTCAATGGCAGAAACATATTAGAAACTTCCAAAACCCGAAGGGAAAAAAAAAAAAAAAAAAAAGTGATAAATGATCTGAAAATGATCTGTTAAAGGAGCTAAAATGGGTCTAACCCAACCCCCCTTCAGGACTAGAATAATATACCTCAATTTAGACTTACATTTTGAACCCAAATAACATGAAATGCTGTAGTAACATTAAGGTTCTTCAAATAAGAAAACTGTGGGCAAAAATGACTTCTTGCAGTAGCAGCTCCAAAGATGCCTCTGGCTGGAGAAAGGGAAGTGCTGCGGTCTCATGAAGATCATCCGCAAGGCTTTTTTTTTTTTTTTTCCACCTCCACAACAGAACTAGCCTTCCCTATTTAACCCTATGATAAAAACCTTTATTAATTTTCATTTTAACAAGAAGCTAAAAACATCACAAGACAAAACAAGACTTTTTACTTTTTAATTAATCATGACATGTACATTAAAAGCAAGGCAAAAAAAATAAACAAATCTCAAATTATGAAAAGCTTCAGATCAAAATTAAATCAGTATATTTTACATTTATGGGACAAGAGCATGAAATGTGAGCTCTAAGTGGAGGAGAAAACATAAAACTCCCTGCCAAGGTCCTTACATAATACAAACGCTTTTAATTTAAGCTCTTAAAAAAAAAAAAAAAAAGGCAGGAGAACCTGATTATGAATACAAACCACGAGCACTGATTTTTATTGTATTTTCACTAGATGCCAAGAAACAGGGGATGTGTAAAGATTAACAGAAGGAAAAAAAGCCCAATGAGAACTTTTTTCTAAGTTTCTATCAGATGAACCACAACTGCCTTTATCCAGCCAATTCCAGAGCAACAAAAATGAAATAACCTTCTCTCCTCGTTTGGATATATACATGTTTTGTTTGTTTTTAAACGATCCCTACACATTTGTGGTTCACCTTGTTTTTAAGCAGCGTAGTCAGGTTCAGAGTAAAGATGGGTGCGCTCTTCTGCTTCTTCCTCCACAAGATATTCCAGCTTCCCCTGCAGAGCAAAACGGCCACAACATTCAATGTTAGCAAGGGTCCCACAACATAGCATCGTAGCAAAGACAGCCAGCTATGCAGGCAATACTTTATCTGCTGGTCAAATATAGCCATTTATTAACGGGGGGAAATGTAGATCATTAACCTTAACAGTAAGGAAAACAAAAATGATAATTATACCTATTATAAGCATTCGAGTTCCAATGTATTTGGAAATTCTAAATTCGTTCTCATTCAACTTTAAAATATTTTACCTGCTGTATAACTACAAATTTAGCAGTTTTTCCAAACTAATTAAAAACCTCAATAATATTCCTTTCACCAAAGTGGAAATGTGTCTGACATGTAGCAGAACTGTAGAATAATAATAATATTCTAAACATGTCAGTGACAATTTCAACCAATGGTAAAAGGATATAAAAGCTGCCTATAATCTCAGATAATCCATTCAAATTACAGCTTTTTTCCCCCGACATGGCACCAAATACAGAAGCAAAGCAGACCATTTAAATATACACACAATGGATACATGTTCTAAAGAAGTAACTACTTGTTTTTCAGACAGGCAACAGCATTCAGAAATGGATGTGGGTAGAGAAAGGAGTACCTGGGGTGAGTACCTGCACAGTTTGACAGTCAGAGAGTATCCAAGATTTTTAATTTGCCCTTTTTCTCATGTGGTCTCGCTCACAACACCAACGCTGTGTGAGGTATAGAAGTCAGCTGCAATTCATCCGATAAACCCTACACCTCCAGTTAGTGTCCTTAGTATTCCCCCACCCCCTCCCCAGGTGCTATAAACCCCCTCCCCAAAGAAAAACACAGTGCATGGCATTATCAGGCACAGTAAGCTGGAGAATAAATCCATGAGTTGATCTTCGCCAACACCTTTAGTAAGAAAACTTTGTGTTTACACGTGTTGGGCAAATTCCCAAGATAAAACTTAACATCCCTGGATAGAAAAAAACAGCAATTACTACGTTCTCCTGTTTCAAAGTAAGAAAATAATTTCATAAAAGTAAAAAACATGTATATACAGCTAAAGAAATTTTGGTTCTGTTAATTCTTCCACAGAGTGAAATGAAACATCTGTAAGGATCAAAAACTGATACAAAACGAGGGGTACCTCTGGGCATGTTTGCTCAGGGCTACACTGGTCTTTCCCTCTTGGCTTTGTGTGAATGTTTTCTATTTTCTTCTCATTCATCGGGCCTAGTCCTTCATCTTCAGTGCATACTTACGATGCACTAATCAAAAACAGGATAAAGATATTTGCATACAGTACATTTGACAAAAATCATAGGCATTGAACTGAACATTAACAGGGTGGGAAACGGAGGGACAGAAAGGGAGGGTGAAGGGAGGTGGGAGGGTTGAAGGAAAGGGGACAGAGTGTGAGAGGGTAGGGCGAGAGCCAGGGGGAGTGAAGAGGAGGGCGCACTTACCTGAGCCTGATCTGAGGTCCTATCAGATCAGTTTTAATTGGACTGAGTGTCACCTTCAGATTGGAGGAGCTCTTGCTGGCCGTTAAGCAGAGGGGAGGAGGCGGCAGCCTCGGTCTGCATCGGTTCCGGCTCTGACGAAGCCTTAATGGTGGCTGAATCGCTTTCTTTTTTAGAGCTGCTCTTCTCCTCTGTCGCCTTACGGTCTGACAAAACATTACAGATATTAATGCATTAATCAGTCCAACATCTATTACAAGGGCAAATGGCTCACTTAGAAGAGCTGGTTTCTTGGATACCATGAGAGAGGCCTAATAATCATGAAGCAGACGGACGGGGAAATGGATTCCACTTCATCAGTTTTAAGGATATTAACTTAGTAAAATATGGTATGCATTTATTTTTAGTTCCTATGACCTGATTAGAGTTACAACTGACACAAGGATCAGGAAATAGTCTTGTTACAATGTCTACTTATAGGTTTAAATCAGGATTTGACTAGGCCACTTTAATATCCCCACAGCATCCACTCTGGGTTCCGGAGCAAAACCCTTAACCGTACAATGCTCCCCGGGCGCCACACACTAGCAGCCCACTGCTCCCCAGGGGGAGGATCAAAATTCATAGAGTGAATTTCACCATTGTGGGACAATAAAAGAATTTACATTACATATCCATGTGCTTTGATCTAAACGACACTAATGCACCACCATAAGCCAAAACTTATATCATTATACATTTCCTTATATGAAACAAAGTGATATAATAATGATATTACTACAAAATGAAATGAATAAAAGGCTTAGGGAGCGTGTAAAAACTGAGGACTATCATTTTGCAAAACTCATCTAGTGCAACATTTTAGAAATATCTTCTTTAAAATTAAAATAAAAAAAAAACTATATAAAACCCAGAACATCAGACGGTGACAAATGCATCATTCATCAAGTTTAATGTATATTGAAAATGTGTTTAAAAGTCATATTTAGTATGAAATATTCTCTGGTCCTCATGTACCATGTGTTCATGGTTACACCACACCGCAGGTATGCGGGGGTCTGAGTTTTCAGGTGGATTTTCTCACTAAAAAACATTAAAACTACTCTTTACCTACTGATCACAGCATTCATAACTGTCATTGTTACAGGGGGGGGGAAAAAAAAAAAAAAAAAACGCCCCCCAACGAGCATCAGACCCACTTTTCCATTGCGCAGCCGTGCATCAGAACTAAACTTGTACAAGCAGCAAAAATGAAGAAGCACGAGTGTTTTTGCTACTCTTGCTGTTTGCGGTGTGAGCGTAGCATAAGCTTTTAATAATACTTAAATATTTACAAGGATTTCTTTAGTCTAAAAGGTAAATAAAACAAAGTTCTCAGATTTTACTAAATGTGACAGCTTCAGCAGCATGCTGGACACTGACCAATAAGGAGCTGAGTGAGGAACCAAGCTCTTACCTTTTTCTTTTGGTGACCGTTCTTTGTCTTTCTCCCTCCCTTTGTCTCGGGTTCTTTCTCTATCCTTGTCCCTGTCTCTTTCTCTGTCCCTGCTGCGGGAGCGACTTCGGCTGCGGTGACGGTGAGACTTTCGCTCTGTGCTGCGAGACCTCCTCCTGTCGCGACTTCGGGAGCGACGTTTTCTGTCGGAGCGCTCACGACTGCGCCTCCTCTCTCTGTCGCGGCTCCTGACAAACAAAAAAGTGACAAATCAAAGCAAACATTATAGGAAAGCCTCCTTATAACTTCCTCCCTTTTACACATCAAATAACTGCTCCTTAATGCCATCTAGTGTTATTTGTTTTATCTTTAGAATTGCTGAAAATTCTAATTGCTGTAACTTTAAGTCTGCTGATTGGGATAGAAAAGAAAGATTTGGTGTTTTATTTTAAAAATAATTTCATAATATTTAGTTCCCTGTATTAAGGAAGCACCATTTTACAGATCTGATTATTTTCATTTCCATTCTAGTTGTATTGAAGCTATTAAAAGGGGGAAAAAAAGGTAGCATAGCATACCTGCTGCGCTTGCGTTCCCTATCCCGGTCTCTGCTCCTTGACCTCCGGCGGTCACGGGATCTGCTGCGTTTCTTTTCAGACGCCCGGCTGGAGTGCCGGCTGTTGGAGTGGCTTCGCCTCGCCCTCCTCTCCCGGTCCCGCTCTCGTTCTCTGTCCCGCTCCCTCTCACGCTCCCGCTCTCTGTCTCGTTCTCTCTCCCGCTCACGTTCCTTCTCCTTTTCCCGTTCCTTCTCCTTCTCTTCCTCCTCTTTGCGCTTCTTCTCTCTCTCCTCCCTCTCGCGCTCTCGCTCTTCTCTGTCCCGTTTGAGAGCAGGGCTTTCAACTTGAGGATCCTCAGAGCGGCGACGGAGTTTTTCCTGAGATCCGAAATAAAGGAAAAAAATTAAATAAAAATCCAAGTTGACCAAAGCTCGACATTTAACCGCTTATAAACATCAGAGGTGTGCAATGCTCAGTTAATTCAATATCAACTAATCTGTTACCTTTAGCTCCTCTACGGTAGATTTGATCTTAGCGTAGCCCATATGCTGTTTGCCCATTAAGTGGTCATCCACTCGGGATTGTGCGTCACCCACGATGAGGAAGGCCCCACACACCTCACACACCTCCATCTGCTTCTCCTGAGCAGCAAAACTCTCTATGGTCTAAAGAAAACAAAATATTCAATTCAACTCATCAAAAACTGGATTTTGGTCAACGACCTACAGTATGTGTTAATGTTACATTGATGTATTTGAGCACATTGTAGGACAAACTGCTGTTCGAAAACAAACGGTATTACACAAGCAGTGCCTACTATCTTGAGGCATCAGCAGCCCGATTAGCCTGCGTTACGTGACTCACCGAGGGGGTGGAGCTTAACAGCTCCCTCTCCTCTTTCAGCTGCTCCACAAGCTTCATCATTCCCTGAGCCTCCTCAACACGTCCTTCTGAACCCAGTTCCTCAATCTAAGGACAGATAAGTACATGGCGAAGTTGAGTAGCAGGCAAAGAAGAATTATTAGTAACGCAAGAGTTTTAGATTAAAATTTACCAATTTACATTAATGTTACCAGCTAACTCACATTAGCGCTCAAGTAAAGCATTAGGCTGTAAGGCCAAAATAATGTTATAACCTCTTAAAACCCTCCTAATTTTGGACAACCCTCGCCTATTTTGCATACTAAATAACTGAGGAACTGTAAGCCCAAACTATGTGCGATACATCATTTGAAAGCGAACACCTTCTAGTTTCTGAAATATAAATGAAAATAGTGAGAATACAACACAGCTTAAACTGCATCAGTTCAAACATGACTCAAAGTTGTTTTTTTTCCTATTGAAAATAGGTCTTTTTTAAGAACAGCAATAGAGAATGCTTGAGAATAGACTTGTCTCATTGTGTTTTCAGACCTCTTGGTATTAATTTCAGAGATGTGGGGCTTTAACTTCTAGCTAGATTGTGCCAAATGAGCCAATTGACCCATAGAATAACACTGACCCATTGTCATCGGATTACTGACTGCTGTCTCTGTGTGTCATAATATATATATATATATATATATATATATATAAATAAGAAATTAGATAAAATAAATAATTTTTTTATATAAAAAAAAATACAGATAAAACATTTCATTTGATGAATAACTACACGGTGCATCACTGGTTGACAGACAAGGAGCTTGTGAGACTTCCTTGGCTGTCCCTAAATAAAATCGAGACATACAAAGATGTGGACACTTGTCTTGTAGGTAGGAAGACGATGTTAAAAAAAAAAAACATTGCAGGCTAACATTTCAGGAAGTCAGTCTTATTAGCAAGATGCTAAAAGCATTAGCTATGACCAGCTAACTTTTCTGACGTCAAAAAACAGGATTACTTTTAATCTTATGGACCCTTATGTACCAACGGAGTTGAAAAAATTGAGGATTTAATTTATGATACGACTTCTGGATGCTTTAAAGCCATGTTGTTGTGGCTTCTTTATCATGTTTACATTTTGACATGCTGCTATATCTGTGTTAATTGTGCTCGGTGTATCCATAAAATGAACTTGGTGGTTGAACTGTGGAAACATCAAAGCTTTCTAACAATAGCTAACATGTCTATATTGGTAAAAATGTTACTGTTGGAATTTTTCATGTTTTCTGAGTTGTTAGTTGTAAAAGCTTTAAAAACTGTCGCCGGCAATCAGGGGGATTTTAAGAGGACACATAATTGAAATAAAATAAATGATCAAATGTTTCTGTAAAACTTTATTATAAAATTATACAAAATGTATAAATGCATTGTATCAAAATGTTTCAAACATTATGAAAAAAAGTAACTCCTAATTGAAACCACCGTTTTCAGATTTAGTGATGAAATGAATCTGAATTCATAGATGGAAAGCATCAGATGGGTTTCATTTGTTTATAGTAGTCGGAAGAGTTTTTTTTTCCCCTGGTTTCCCAAACATTATTCTCTGCAACTATATGGACATATAGTTGCATATTTCTGTCAAGAAATGAGTTGCGAACCTGTACAACGAGGTCTTCTATCTTCTCTGTTAGAACTTGAACTTTCTCTTCATTCTTTCCAGATGGACCTGGGCCCTAAAAAATGACACAACACATCAGACATATGGTGCATTTGTTTTCCAATGTTTTTTTTTTTTTTGTTATGAATAGTCCATCTTCCAGAAAAAGGACAATAAATATACAAACCCCCGCATTTTGTTGAGCTTGGGAAAGTGCAAGACGAGCATGTCCTCTTCGAATCCGCCGTTCTACTTCTGCAAGGAGGGACTGTAGATACCGCAGGAAGTCTCGCTCATAGCCTTCCTTCATAAACCGAGAGCTTTTCTCATATCTGTGACAGAGAAGTTCACCGGGGTCAAGACATCCAAAATAAAAACAAAAAATTATTTCTTATACATTTTGGTGAACCTACAGTTTTCTTAGATTTTCATCATGGATTTTTTCACAAGGTCCTGGAACAAAACAGAAATGTGTCATTAAGCCAAAGTTTTAACTAAAGTCATTAGATACAGTACTTAATGAAATATTATTGCTTAACAGGTCCTTACCCAAATCAGAGCGTGTGTTTGTAAAAAGCTCAGCTGGACAAAAGCCGCATAGATAGTATCGACAGACCTAAACGGAAAAACAGAAATATCAGTTTTCCTGAACCTACGACCTTGATCAAAGAAAACAAGAAATATAAAGGATAATATGAGCCTATGTCTACCTCATTAAGACAAAATAGTAAAGAAACAAAAGCATCAGTAGATAGAAGTAATCATTATCTTGAATTTTTGCCATAATTATTTGAACGCTGATAAGGCTACAAGCTGCAACATTGTACAATGGACTTTGTATGAAATACAAAAAAATAATAATATTCCCAAAATATGATACAGTATCGCCATCTTTGATTAAAAAAAATAAGTAAAATATCTAACAAGTTCTTTGTAACCAAAACTGTTGCGATAAAGATATCTTAAAATGCCTGGTACAGGTAAAAAAGTTTTTCCTGGCGGTTTTATTGGTAAAACTTATTATTCAGTAATATAGCAATTGGGCTAAATAACTTAAAACATTACGTGTAATAAAAGACTTAACAGTTTTAGCATCTTTTAGCATTGGTTAAACAATTGATAACTCTTGTATGAAGTTTGATAAAGAAGCAGAGGTTAGAGCAAGTGAACATGTGGGGTAACATTGAAGGCAACACGCATTTTGACACATTAATAATAGATTTTATAACCAAATACCACAAAAGCCCCAATACATTGCACCCAAACAAAGGTTTTAATCGTTTAATTGCCTTTGCTACATTTCATTGTGAGCTACAGGCTAGTTTGCTAGCTTAACTGTTAGCTAATCCAGGTTAATTCTCATTACATGCGCACATAGCGCACCGTGCAACGCTAAGGCCTCTTTATTTTATCTTATTAATCTTTATTAAACCCGAAGCAAAGTTAGATGGTAGTGAAGAGAATGTGACTTCCTAATCTAAGATACCATGGCATAAAATGTCCACTCTCTTTAAAGCATGTTAGCTCCTCACATATCAGAAGCTAACGGTGGCTACCACGCTAACTTACACACTCATCGTCCCATCGCACATTAGACCGCTTCTCATCAGGGGCCAGATTTCTGTCTCGGCCCATTAACTCATCGAGTAACTGGGCTGCAGACAGCATTTTGTTAGAATATAGTTGCCCTCTTTCGGAGTGCCACAACAGCCTGTTAATAACGCAAACTAGTTCTAACCAAAATGGCAGCCGCTAGCAACACCGCCCGCTCTGGCTCCTCTACAAAGAGCTGGGTCTGAACCGGATGCATTCGTTCATTTTTTTTTCCTCTGGGGTGTTTAATTGCGGTTGGCATGCAATTTACAGACGCATTACCGCCACCTACTGGTAATGATTTTTGATCGATTTTCTTCTTCTTCTTCTTTGTTAGATTGGCGGATTGCAAACAACTTAGATGCCGCCACCTACTGTACATGAGTGCGTAGCTCTATGGTTCCACCTACTAAATTCTATTTTTTATTTTTGTGTTATGTAAAAAATAAAAACAATGCTTTCTTAATAACCAAATTTCCTCCTTATCTCCATCTGTCCCTAAAATTCCTTTAATACTCAATTCTCTCCCTTTTTGCATGATTACTTCCCTCATCCTCTCTCTCTCTCTTTCAGTTGCATATTTAATGCAATCCATCAAAACATGATCCACATTTTCTTTTCTTTTACAACCCTCACATATATCATTATTTATCTTCCCTAGTACAAACAAAAACTCATTCAAGTAGGTATGTCCATTTCTTAATCTAGTATAAATTATATCTTCCCTTCTGCTTCTTTCTCCATAATTTTTAACAATTACAGATTTTTTTAACTCTATATAATCTTTTTCCTTTCTCATCTTCATCCCATATTTTTGCCATAATTCTGTTTCTTTATTTTTGATTATTGATCTACCTTTCCCTTCCCCATCCATTTTCTGTCACGCTTAATCACAGTTGGGGTCGCAAGGGGTGCTGGGGCAGGGCAACACAAAAATGACAGTATACTCACAATAGATTTATCTACTTTACTTAATATCTATGGTATAATAAACCAATATGTAATTGATTGATTGAGCGATTGACTTTATTGATCAAAGCCGAAAAATTTACTTGTTACATACATATGTTCATTTATATGTTCATTATATATATATACATATATATATATATATTTATATATATATTTATATATATATTT